ACAGGGGATTTTTACTAGGATTAAATGTCAGGAATCGTAAAAAATGGAGTTTAAATGTATTTGGCTAAGGTGTATGTAATCTTCCGACTTCAACTGTAGCTGTATCACACATTAATCAGAAATATCTTAAATGTGGTAATAAACAGTAAAGGAATGGAATGGTGAAACGCTAGCAACTATTGTAGTATAATATGGAATATGGATTTAACTAATATCCTTTTTAACTTGTGAAAGCAACAACAAACATTTCAACAAGGGAACAAAGTGCTCTCCACTGGCGGGAGTTTGGAGAGCACAAGTGGAGAGACCTATGGTGCATCTTTGCCACAGATAACAAGAGCAGCCGCGGCTGCAGTTACACCTCCAACATCGCCTAAACAAAAGCAATGACATGCTATGCAGTTGTCGGTTACCGTGGGTTAAAGCTGATCTGATTTAATCCATATACTAAACAGGTATGATTTCTCATTATCTACACTGAACAAAAATAGAAACGCAAGACGTAAAATGTTAGTCACATGTTTCATGAGCTGAAATAAAAGATCCCAGAAATGTTTCATATACACAAAAACCTTATTTCTCTCAAATTTTGTGCACAAATTTGTTTACATCCCTTTTAACCGGCCTCACAACTGCAGACCATGTACAGTGGGGGAAAAAAAGTATTTAGTCAGCCACCAATTGTGCAAGTTCTCCCACTTAAAAAGATGAGAGAGGCCTGTAATTTTCATCATAGGTACACGTCAACTATGACAGACAAATTGAGAATATTTTGTCCAGAAAATCACATTGTAGGATTTTTTATGAATTTATTTGCAAATTATGGTGGAAAATAAGTATTTGGTCACCTACAAACAAGCAAGATTTCTGGCTCTCACAGACCTGTAACTTCTTCTTTAAGAGGCTCCTCTGTCCTCCACTCGTTACCTGTATTAATGGCACCTGTTTGAACTTGTTATCAGTATAAAGGACACCAGTCCACAACCTCAAACAGTCACACTCCAAACTCCACTATGGCCAAGACCAAAGAGCTGTCAAAGGACACCAGAAACAAAATTGTAGACCTGCACCAGGCTGGGAAGACTGAATCTGCAATAGGTAAGCAGCTTGGTTTGAAGAAATCAACAGTGGGAGCAATTATTAGGAAATGGAAGACATACAAGACCACTGATAATCTCCCTCGATCTGGGGCTCCACGCAAGATCTCACCCCGTGGGGTCAAAATGATCACAAGAACGGTGAGCAAAAATCCCAGAACCACACGGGGGGACCTAGTGAATGACCTGCAGAGAGCTGGGACCAAAGTAACAAAGCCTATCATCAGTAACACACTACGCCGCCAGGGACTCAAATCCTGCAGTGCCAGACGTGTCCCCCTGCTTAAGCCAGTACATGTCCAGGCCTGTCTGAAGTTTGCTAGAGTGCATTTGGATTATCCAGAACAGGATTGGGAGAATGTCATATGGTCAGATGAAACCAAAATATAACTTTTTGGTAAAAACTCAACTCGTCGTGTTTGGAGGACAAAGAATGCTGAGTTGCATCCAAAGAACACCATACCTACTGTGAAGCATGGGGGTGGAAACATCATGCTTTGGGGCTGTTTTTCTGCAAAGGGACCAGGACGACTGATCCGTGTAAAGGAAAGAATGAATGGGGCCATGTATAATGGGTCCTCTGTAGCTCAGCTGGTAGAGCACGGCGCTTGTAACGCCAAGGTAGTGGGTTCGATCCCCGGGACCACCCATACACAAAATGTGTATGCACGCATGACTGTAAGTCGCTTTGGATAAAAGTGTCTGCTAAATGGCATATTATTATTATTATTATTATTATCGTGAGATTTTGAGTGAAAACCTCCTTCCATCAGCAAGGGCATTGAAGATGAAACGTGGCTGGGTCTTTCAGCATGACAATGATCCCAAACACACCGCCCGGGCAACGAAGGAGTGGCTTCGTAAGAAGCATTTCAAGGTCCTGGAGTGGCCTAGCCAGTCTCCAGATCTCAACCCCATAGAAAATCTTTGGAGGGAGTTGAAAGTCCGTGTTGCCCAGCGACAGCCCCAAAACATCACTGCTCTAGAGGAGATCTGCATGGAGGAATGGGCCAAAATACCAGCAACAGTGTGTGAAAACCTTGTGAAGACTTACAGAAAACGTTTGACCTGTGTCATTGCCAACAAAGGGTATATGACAAAGTATTGAGAAACTTTTGTTATTGACCAAATACTTATTTTCCACCATAATTTGCAAATAAATTCATATAAAATCCTACAATGTGATTTTCTGGATTTTTTTTTCTCATTTTGTATGTCGTAGTTGACATGTACCTATGATGAAAAGTACAGGCCTCTCTCATCTTTTTAAGTGGGAGAACTTGCACAATTGGTGGCTGACTAAATACTTTTTTCCCCCACTGTATACAGTATAGGTATACTACGTACATGGCAAAAGTATGTGGACACCCCTTCAAATTAGTGGATTCGGCTATTTCAGCCACACCCTGAGAGGTGTATAAATTCGAGCACACAGCCATGCAATCTCCATAGACAAACATTGGCAGTAGAATGGCCCGTACTGAAGAGCTCAGTGGCTTTCAACGTAGCACCGTCATACAGTGAGGGAAAAAACTATTTGATTCCCTGGTGATTTTGTACGTTTGCCCACTGACAAAGAAATGATCAGTCTATAATTTTAATGGTAGGTTTATTTGAACAGTGAGAGACAGAATAACAACAAAAAAATCCAGAAAAACGCATGTCAAAAATGTTATAAATTGATTTGCATTTTAATGAGGGAAATAAGTATTTGACTCCCTCTCAATCAGAAAGATTTCTGGCTCCCAGGTGTCTTTTATACAGGTAACGAGCTGAGATTAGGAGCACACTCTTAAAGGGAGTGCTCCTAATCTCAGCTTGTTACCTGTATAAAAGACACCTGTCCACAGAAGCAATCAATCAATCAGATTCCAAACTCTCCACCATGGCCAAGACCAAAGAGCTCTCCAAGGATGTCAGGGACAAGATTGTAGACCTACATAAGGCTGGAATAGGCTACAAGACCATCGCCAAGCAGCTTGGTGAGAAGGTGACAACAGTTGGTGCGATTATTCGCAAATGGAAGAAACACAAAATAACTGTCAATCTCCCTTGGCCTGGGGCTCCATGCAAGATGTCACCTTGCAATGATCATGAGAACGGTGAGGAATCAGCCCAGAACTACACGGGAGGATCTTGTCAATTATCTCAAGGCAGCTGGGACCATAGTCACCAAGAAAACAATTGGTAACACACTACGCCGTGAAGCACTGAAATCCTGCAGCGCCCGCAAGGTCCCCCTGCTCAAGAAAGCACATATACATGCCCGTCTGAAGTTTGCCAATGAACATCTGAATGATTCAGAGGAAAACTGGGTGAAAGTGTTGTGGTCAGATGAGACCAAAACCGAGCTCTTTGGCATCAACTCAACTCGCTGTGTTTGGAGGAGGAGGAATGCTGCCTATGACCCCAAGAACACCATCCCCACCGTCAAACATGGAGGTGGAAACATTATGTTTTGGGGGTGTTTTTCTGCTAAGGGGACAGGACAACTTCACCGCATCAAAGGGACGATGGACGGGGCCATGTACCGTCAAATCTTGGGTGAGAACCTCCTTCCCTCAGCCAGGGCATTGAAAATGGGTCGTGGATGGGTATTCCAGCATGACAATGACCCAAAACACATGGCCAAGGCAACAAAGGAGTGGCTCAAGAAGAAGCACATTAAGGTCCTGGAGTGGCCTAGCCAGTCTCCAGACCTTAATCCCATAGAAAATATGTGGAGGGAGCTGAAGGTTCGAGTTGCCAAACGTCAGCCTCGAAACCTTAATGACTTGGAGAAGATCTGCAAAGAGGAGTGGGACAAAATCCCTCCTGAGATGTGTGCAAACCTGGTGGCCAACTACAAGAAACGTCTGACCTCTGTGATTGCCAACAAGGGTTTTGCCACCAAGTACTAAGTCATGTTTTGCAGAGGGGTCAAATACTTATTTCCCTCATTAAAATGCAAATCAATGTATAAAATTTTTGACATGCATTTTTCTGGATTTTTTTGTTGTTATTCTGTCTCTCACTGTTCAAATAAACCTACCATTAAAATTATAGACTGATAATTGTTTTGTCAGTGGGCAAGCATACAAAATCAGCAGGGGATCAAATACTTTTTTTCCCTCACTGTAGGATGCCAACTTTGCAACAAGTCAGTTAATCAAATTTCTGCCCTGCTAGAGCTGCCCTGGTCAACTGTAAGTGCTGTTATTGTGAAGTGGAAACTTCTAGGAGCAACAATGGCTCAGCCACGAAGTGGTAGGCCACACAAGCTCACAGAACGGAACCGCTGAGTGCTTAAGTGCGTAGTGCGTAAAAATCATCTGTCTTCGGTTGCAACACACACTACTGAGTTCCAAACTGCCTCTGGAAGCAATGTCTGCACAAAAACTGTTAGTCGGGAGCTTCATGAAATGGGTTTCCATGGCCGAGCATAGTGCCAACTGTAAAGTTTGGTGGGGGAGGAATAATGGTCTGGGGCTGTTTGTCATGGTTCGAGCTTGGCCCCTTAGTTCCAGTGAAGGGAAATCTGAACGCTACAGCATACAAAACGATTATGTGGCAACAGTTTGGGTAAGGCCCTTTCCTGTTTCAGCATGACAATGCCAACGTGCACAAAGGTCCATACAGAAATGGTTTGTCGAGACCAGTGTGGAAGAACTTGACTGGCCTGCACAAAGCCCTGACCTCAATCGCATCAAACACCTTTGGGATTAATTAGAATGCCGACTGCGAGCCATGCCTTTTGGAATGAGATGTTCGACGAGCACGTGTCCACATACTTTTAGCCATTGCGTATAAACTATTGCATCTTCAATTGCTATAATTGCATCCCCAGTGCACACAATAACACAATAACATTTACAGTATTAAACCGATATTGTACTTCAACAGTAACAGTAAGGCAGTCTTACCGTAGAGGATTATACTTGCATTGGTGATCCCCATGGTGTTCAGGGCCACACACGTGTAGTTTCCGTAGTCCTCTTCAGAAACATTCAAAAACATAAGCATGGATTGTTTACCTTGGTTCTCTATCTTAACCCCATTCAGTCCATTGAAGAGTCTGTAAAGAAGAAAATGCATTCTTAAAATGTTGGTACTGGAATCCCATATCTAGTGTATATGTTTATCCGTAACAAATCCCTATAGCTGTGAAGTTAAAAGCTACATCTTATCTCAATCAAATTTGGCCGATTGGGGGATATGGTTTGAAGGTGTAGTCCAGGGGTGTCTAACTACTTTTGCCTCGGGGGCCGCATCCGGTCTTCAACAATGTCCGGAGGGCCGCACTAATTTCTAAAAATATTTCCTTCCCATCAACATTAGCAAAAAATAGCTCTCTATCCATTGTTTTGGATGTCTATGCTCCCTGACTGCTAGTATACACTGGATTCAGACGGTATAATATAAATCCATTTCATCTGCACGTTTTGGTTTTGTAATGTATAAGTTCGCCGATTGGACACCCATATGTTGACATTGCTGTGACATGTCAGTAAATCCAGCAGTTTGTGACAAGGCCATTGTCACTGTGAGGTATTGGTGATGTCACGGAGTGGTGCACTTATTGGGGAGGACGGGCTCATGGTAATGGCTGGAGCGGAATAGGTGGAATGTTATCAAATACTTCAAACACATGGTTTCCATGTGTTTAATGCCATTCCATTTGTGCCGTTCCAGACACTATTATGTGCCATTCTCCCCTCAGCAGCCTCCACTGGTGTATGTGTATGTAATTGAGAAGGGTTTAGCACAAGCATGGCTGCTAGGTAAAGACTATTAGTCTCGGGAACTTACATCGACAAAAATACTTCTGAAATAAGTCTCTAGAGCCCTAATACTGGGTCGTGCTGAGACGACAGCTCTGCATCGCTGTACAACAATCTGCATTGTGTAACATTTTCTCTTTGACTGCACCGCTAATATTCCCCACTCTTCACTGGCTTGTGCCGGTTCGTTTCGAAACAAGATTTATTTGTGAAGTGTAGTTATTCATTATAAAAACCCATCTACTTTCTCAGAGGTTGTGCAGGCAAAGCAGCCCCATTGACAGATACTAATTATGCAAAAACAAATACAACTCGACCTTATTGGCCATGATGGTTCTCCTCCAAAGAAAGCAATGTAATTTGAATAGTAAGTTATAATGATACAAAATTAAATGTTGCCTGTGGAAAATAAAAAAAACTGGGGGATAGAAATCTCCTAACAACCAACAAAAGGCTGAGACCCTTAAAGGCCCAGTGCAGTCAAAATTGTGAAAATGATGACAATGCCCTTTTAGTGTAAGAGCTGTTTGAAAAACAGAGTTTTGGCCTGTCTAATGACCACCAGGCGGAAGAGTGGTATATGGCCTAAATACAATGGTGGGAAAAGTACCCAATTGTCATACTTGAGTAAAAGTAAAGATACCTTAATAGAAAATGACTCAAGTAAAACTGAAAGTCACCCAATAAAATACTATTGAGTAAAAGTTTAAAAGTATTTGGTTTTAAATATACTTAAGTATCAAAAGTCAATGTAATTGCAAAAAATACTGAAGTATCAAAAGTAAAAGTAAAAGTATAAATCATTTCAAATTGCCTATATTAAGCAGACCAGATGGCACAATTTTTTAATTATTTTTTATTTATTTACGGATAGGCAGGGGCACACTCCAACACTCAGACATCATTTACAAACAAAGCTTTTGTGTTTAGTGAGTCCGCCAGATCAGAGGCAGTAGGGATGACCAGGGATGTTCTCTTGATAAGTGTGTGAATTGGACCATTTTCCTGTCCTGCTAAGCATTCAAAATGTAACAAGTACTTTTGGGTGTCAGGGAGTTATTTTCTTTAGGAATGTAGTGAAATAAAAGTAAAAGTTGTTAAAAATATCAATATTAAAGTAAAGTACAGATAGCCCCAAAAAAAGTAGTACTTTAAAGTATTTTTACTTAAGTACATTACACCGCTTTCTTTATACCATGGCTAAAGGATGTTCTTAACACGACGCAACGTGGAGTGCCTGGATACAGCCCTTAGCCGTGGTGTATAGGCTATATATCACTAACCCCTGAGGTGCCTTATTGCTTTTATAAACCGTTTGCCAACACAGTAAGGCAAAGAACGACACATCTATATTGAAAATATAGTTTTAATAAATAAATTCATAATAAATACATTCTGCCAGAAAAAGCAGTCCAAACAAAAGTATCGTTGCTAGACTTGTTGCTATGCAACATAACCACAGGCTAGCTAGCAAGCTTACATTACATGTATGCAAAAACAGAGCATTAGTGCCACTTCTAGAGTGACTAACACATGGCAATTATTTATTAATGTTGATCTGAATGATGCCATTTATTGTGCACGAATGAAAAAATGGTCCCATGTTATTGTTTGTTGTTGGCTTGCCTATGTTGTCGTTTGTTGGATCCATGCTGCTGGATATGGATGCCATTATTTTTGCTGGGGGAGTTGCTGCTTTGTTGTCAGAGAGAATAGTGCTCCTCGCTTCCAGATTTGGCCTCCAGTAACTTTGAAGAGAGGTTTCGGATCTGTGTCCACTGACAGACATTATTTCTCGTGCCTCTAGTCCGGCATCCAACTGTTTCTGGATCATGGTGGTTCGGAGGCAGTTGTTTGTGTAAATATGCGACGTGCCAGCTATTTTGCAGATCTTTGCCAACATTGTTGCGAGGGTGTTCATTCCCATCGGCTCTTTTGTGTACCTGAAACATATAAAAGACAATAACGTTAGCTAATAGTTAGGCCTACATAGCTACCAGTTATATTGTAAATTTGATTTAGCTAGCTAGCTAACAGTTACATACCATATGTATCCGTTCACTTCTTTCCATTTCGGGAGGAGGTAAAACGCCGGGGCGTTGGAGGGAATGAGGGATCGATGCTACTTAAGCGAAGCTACCGAGCAGAGGGGATCACCCGGCAGTTCAAACATGAATCCCCTTCCACTCTCCCTGTTCTTCTCCTGCGAGTCCTTGTGGTTTTTTGTGGGTTTGTTGAATGAGAGAGTCGCATACTGTAGGCCATTCTCGTCTGTACATATATTAAATGAATCAGGTTTCAGCAGACGGTTTCCCTCCTTCCCCCTTCGACCAAAATGAAGTTGAACATCAAACCATACTTTGTTCACCAAACCATCAGGTGTTTCAGTGTCCAGAGCCTTAGATTGTTTGATGAGCTGCTGAGTGTAGGCAGCTTTGTCGCGCCCCTCTTTCCTCAACTTTTTAATTACGCCGACAAACACATTGTTGCTTGTTGTGAATTCGGTGTCCTTCTGTATATTCCATGAGAAACTGTCCAGTGTAGCTGCTAATCCCATATTCTTCGCCATTCTTGTTACTTACTGAACCATAAAAGTCCTATAGTATGTCGTTCAGCTCCGTTTTTGTTGTATTCCCAAACTCACAATGTATCATTTTTCCACACACCAGTCAGTGAAGCAGGTAAGTGCCCACTTTGTTTGTTTCACATTGTTCTTGTTTGTCTCAAGTTCATTTAAACACTTATTTTCTACATGGGCATGTCAAACTATTGTTGATGTAGCCATTTTATCAAGGTGAAAAGGTGCAATGATATCAAGGTGAAAAGGCAAAACGTGGTATACGATCTCACATACACACGGCTGAATGCTGCTTTAGCCAATCAGCATCCAGTATCCAAACTACCCGGTTTATAATAGTTACTAGACAAATAAGAAATGCAGTTCCAAACCTCTCTGCCAATAACAGCTACTTTTCAGTTTCCCCCTCCCCACTCAGACCACTCCCAGACAGTCCTAACAAAATTCTTGCTTGAGAAATTGCTCTTTGCTAAGAAGCTATTTATGTTTCTTTTTTTACAATTTTAATCGAAAACAATCACAGTAAGGTACATAATTGTTACCCAGAAATGATTTGATATTGAGATTTAAATGGCTGCATTGGACATTTAAAACATAGACTATATTAAAAAAATTAAAACATGTAAGGACTTACCTGCGGTCCTCTTTGTACCACTCAAAATCTGCACCAGGAACAGCAGAGGCCTCACATTGGAGCACCCCTTTTTGGCCCACTGGGGTACCTGTACTCCTGGCCTTCGAAATGAAGGGAGCGTCTGTAGGATGCATGACATTGAGGTTATTAAATTAGTTTTATAGCGGTACATATCCATTTTTATCATTAAAGGTAGACTCAGCAATATGACATCATCACACACCGCTGGGCAACTTCCTGCTTAAAGAAATCAACACCAACATTCTGATCTACCAAGACTGACACTATTGGGTATTCCTAGTGTGGGTATACCTCACGGGAGGGTGCACATTGGAAACAGACTGTTTTTGCTGTCTTGAAAGATTGAAATGATGCTTTTGTGAATGATGTCATATTGCTGTGTCTACCTACCTCATAACCATTAATTTGATGTCCTTTAAACTGAACTGTTTCAAACAGGTGAAGTATCTGTTATTCTGAATAATCTGAAAAGTCCTTCAGTATGTTTTCTGTTGATACCAATGTACATTCGAGCTAGCATGCTAAACTAACAAAAGGCTTCTTAAATGAACTTAATAACCCCAGTAAGCTCTTAAAACAAGATTGGATCAACAACAGCCTTGAAAAACCATGCAGCTGATAAAAGAGCCAAATTAGCGGACTATTTATTTGTTTGAGTGTTGAGGTGTTTGGCGTCATTGTTTGTTTTTATGCTTACAATTGACTGTGACTTTCACCGTCCTCACATCTGGGGCTGAGATGTCATTGGAGGAGATGCATTCATACGATCCCGACTGTTCTTTAGTGATCGCTGTCATATCAACATATTCCCCTTCAGTGACAAATTTGTGGCCTGAAAAAGAACACAAAAACATCCGTTTTTAAAAGTAGAAAGCATACAGAGGTGCACAAGGTATTCCCAAAAACCCCACATGATTAAAGTGCAGTTTCATTACCTGACTAATAATTTCAATTTGATCTAAAATGGCTCCCCAAAAGCCACATAACAACTCAAACCTAGTTAATTACATAAAAATTCACAGAACCATAACAAATTCCTAGCAGCAGCTCTTGAATTTGACACACACATATGCATGTAAACATACTTCCATTTTCTAATGGTCTACTGAGCATGAAACAGTACTTGCAACCAGGTTAAACAGGTGTGATATCCAAGATGCATGGAAATCAACCTTTCAAGGAGTCTGCCACATTGACTAAGGTAGCGTGTAGGCTATACAACCTTATGATTTATTATTGCAAGTGAGTGCAGAGCATACCTTTCATCTATACATCAGACACTACAACGTAACATTGCTTCACCTGTTCGTTAAATATTTGAAAACAGGAGCCACTCAAGAGTTACAGTAGCTGTGTCCACATTACAGAAACACTGACACTAAAAATGTTATCGAATGTCAACACACATAGCATAAAATCAAATTTCCCCAGACATCAGCAGTCTTGTAGGATTATCACTGCTTTCGCAACGGACATCATAAAGTCTCTTCTGTGTGTGAGGAGGGGGAAATGGGGCTGAGACTGAAATGGAGAGGCACCTTTACTTGGAGATAACCCATTCCCAATCAGCTGAAATGTCACGTACAACAATAACCCTACATTAGCATGATCTCATTACTTTCCCCAAGCCCTGGTCCCACCAGCAACTGCTGCTGCAGCTGACAGGGGACTGACTGGAAAGGTTGTGCTGGGCTGGGTTGTTGCTTTTAACTTTAATGGGGAACGGAAGCACTGGTAATTGAACATTTGTATTTTGCATTTCTATCAACATTATGCAGATTGGGCGAAGAAGTGGAAATTGAGTTATTGACCACTACTATGTTATTTTATGGTTGCAGGTTGTGATTGGGTGAGTGGTGGCAAGGTTAACCTAAGATAATATGGGCTTTAGCCTAACAGCAATTCCTTGTCCAAAAGATGGGCGAAAATGGTGAGGCCTGTATTTTCAGCCCAATCGATGAAATAATGATGTTAGGTTGTAAATGAAAGAGAAAAAGGTTGGGTACTTTCTTAAGATTCATGATACAGTTACTCTGCTTTTGTATCTCAGCAGCATATTCTACTTTGAGATTGAACAGATGGTAAAGGAATATGATACAGCAATTCATTTGGAACGGGAGGTCACCAAGGGTAGTAAACTCTAGCCTTAGAGAGAAATAGCGTGTGCAGGCACTCTTGATGTTTGTGACTGCTAACTGGCTCAATGAAGACAATGATGAGTTGAACCAGGTGACAAAACAACTAGACCTTCTGGCATTCTATGTTTACCTACCCTGACTCCTGTTGGGGTTTCATTTATACATTCATATCAGTAGTGGTATGTAAGGTACACTAAACAGAGTAAGCAGAGAAATGTACAGGACTTGATAGGAGAAAGTTTGATTACAATGTTGTACTGAGATCATGGTTGATCTTACAATGTACCTTGTGTCAAAGCAAAAAACATCTCTTCTGTTGTAATATTCATGCCAGCTTTTTGGGGGCTGGAGGGATTTGATAAACACATCAATCTTGACTACATATTCCCAAAATATTATGCCAATAACTTGCTTCACAGATGAGCCATATCCTCCAAACCCTGTTTCCTTCTCTTTTGCAACTTTTGTCAGAGTCTGAAATTTGCTGTGCACAAAGGCTCTGCCTGACTCAACCCTATTCTTATTTTATTATTTTCCCTATCATTGAACGTTTTCATATTATTTCCACAACACTGCAGAAAAACAGCACCGTTGGTGTACAATTGAGAATAATTAATGGTGGCAGAGCGGTTTCTGCTTCAGCATAAGCAGTCTTAGCAACCAAGGCTCTTTCACCTTTTGCTGCTAAACCAGTTAACAATTCTAGAGAGAAATAATGTTTTTGTAATGCTACACGTAATGGTCCCCAGATGTTTGAGTGACCAGTTTTCCGTTAGTAAGGGGAGCATTCTTTAAAATACTTTAAAGTACTACTTAAGTAGTTTGTACTTTACTATTTATATTTTTGACAACTTTTACTTCATTACATTCCTAAAGAAAATAATGTGCTTTTTACTCCATACATTTTCCCTGACACCCAAAAGTACTCATTACATTTTGAATGCTTAGCAGGACAGGAAAATGGTCCAATTCACACACTTATCAAGAGAACATCTCTGGTCATCCTACTGCCTCTGATCTGGCGGACTCACTAAACAAACTTGCTTTGGTTGTAAATTATGTCTGAGTGTTAGAGTCTGCCCCTGGCTATCTGTAAATAAATAGAAAACAAGAAAATGGTGCCGTCTGGTTTGATTAAAATAAGGAATTTGAAATTATTTATACTTTTACTTTTGATACTTAAGTATACTTTAGCAATTACATTGACTTTTGATACTGAAGTATATTTAAAACCAAATACTTGTAGACTTTTACTCAAGTAATATCTAGACTTTTACTCAAGTATGATAATTGGGTACCTTTTCCACCACTGCCATGTTCTTGCCATGTTATCAGAATATAAGATATTAATGTTCTAGACACGTTTCATGGGAATGTTGCAAGAACATTCCTGTGTCCAGTTGTCTGAGAGTTAGGAGAATATTCCATCAACGTCCCACCAAACATTCACAGAACATGATTGGTCTAATGTTGGTGGGGCATTTTACCCTGTTTTATTTTATATATACAGTCGTGGAAAAAGTTTTGAGAATGACAAGTATTGGTCTTCACAAAGTTCGCTGCTTCAGTGTTATGAGATATTTTTGTCAGATGTTACTATGGTATACTGAAGTATAATTACAAGCATTCCATTAGTGTCAAAGGCTTTTATTGACAATTACATTAAGTTTATGCAAAGAGTCAATATTTGCAGTGTTGACCATTCTTTTTCAAGACCTCTGCAATCCACCCTGGCATGCTGTCAATTAACTTCTGGGCCACATCCTGACTGATGGCAGCCCATTCTTGCATAATCAATGCTTGGAGTTTGTCAGAATTTGTGGGTTTTTGTTTGTCCACCCGCCTCCTGAGGATCGACCACAAGTTCTCAATGGGATTAAGGTCTGGGGAGTTTCCTGGCCATGGACCCAAAATGTAGATGTTTTGTTCCCCGAGCCACTTAGTTTTACTTAGCTTACTTTTGCCTTATGGCAAGGTGCTCCATCATGCTGGAAAAGGCATTGGTCGTCACCAAACTGTTCTTGGATGGTTGGGAGAAGTTGCTCTCGGAGGATGTGTTGGTACCATATTTCATTCATGGCTGTGTTCTTAGGAAAAAATTGGAGTGAGCCCACTCCCTTGGCTGAGAAGCAACCCCACACATGAATGGTCTCAGGATGTTTTACTGTTGGCATGACACAGGACTGATGGTGGCGCTCACCTTGTCTTCTCCGGACAAGGTGTTTTCCGGATGCCCCAAACAATCGGAAAGGGGATTCATCTGAGAAAATGACTTTACCCCAGTCCTCAGCAGTCCAATCCCTGTAACTTTTGCAGAATATCAGTCTGTCCCTGATGTTTTTCCTGGAGAGAAGTGGCTTCTTTGCTGCCCTTTTTGACACCATGCCGTCCTCCAAAAGTCTTCGCCTTACTGTGCTTGCAGATGCACTCACACCTGCCTGCTGCCATTCCTGAGCAAGCTCTGCACTGGTGGTGCCCCGATCCCACAGCAGAATCAACTTTAGGAGACGGTCCTGGCGATTGCTGGACTTTCTTGGGCGCCCTGACGCCTTCTTCACAACAATTGAACCTCTCTCCTTGAAGTTCTTGATGATCCGATAAATGGTTGATTTAGGTGCAATCTTACTAGCAGCAATATCCTTGCCTGTGAAGCCCTTTTTGTGCAAAGCAATGATGACGGCACTTGTTTCCTTGCAGGTAACCATGGTTAACAGAAGAACAATGATTTCAAGCACCACCCTCCTTTTAAAGCTTCCAGTCTGTTATTCTAACTCAATCAGCATGACAGAGTGATCTCCAGCCTTGTCCTCGTCAACACTCTCACCTGTGTTAACGAGATAATCACTGACATGATGGCAGCTGGTCCTTTTGTGGCAGGGCTGGAATGCAGTGGAAATGTTTTTTGGGGATTAAGTTAATTTTCATGGCAAAGAGGGACTTTGCAATTAATTGCAATTCATCTGATCACTCTTCATGACATTCTGGACTATATGCAAATTGCCATAATCAAAACTGAGGCAGCAGACTTTGTGAAAATTAGTATTTGTGTCATTCTCTAAACTTTTGACCACGACTGTACAGTACCAGTCAAATGTTTGGACACACCTACTCATTCCAGGGTTTTTCTTTATTTTTACTATTTTCTACATTGTAGAATAATAGTGAAGACATCAAAACTATGAAATAACACATATGGAATCATGTAGTATCCAAAAAAGTGTTAAACAAATTTGAGATTCTTCAAATAACCACCCTTTGCCTTGATGACAGCTTTGCACGCTCTTGGCATTCTCTCAACCAGCTTCATGAGGTAGTCACCTGGAATGCATTTCAGGTAACAGGTGTGCCTTGTTAAATTGTAATTTGTCGAATTTCTTTCCTTCTTAATGCGTTTGAGCCAATCAGTTGTTTTGTGACAAGGTAGTGGTGGTATACAGAAGATAGTCCTATTTGGTAAAAGACCAAGTCCATATTATGGCAAGAACAGCTCAAATAAGCAAAGAGAAATGACAGTCCATCATTACATTAAGACATGAAGGTCAGTCAATACGGAACATTTCAAGAACTTTGAAAGTTTCTTAAAGTGCAGTCGCAAAAACTATCAAGTGCTATGATGAAACTGGCCCTCATGAGGAGCAGAGGTAACTCTGGGTCTTCCATTCCTGTGGTGGTCCTCATGAGAGCCAGTTTCATC